TGCTTGAAAACTCTACCAAGGCCTTCATAAATCAGTTTTGATTTTACAACATATAACACACTCTAAGCATAAATGAAGGCAAGAGGAGAAGGGGACAGAGGACGAGATGGTTGGACAGTGTCAGCGAAGCTAACATGAATTTGACCCAACTCCGGGAGGCAGTGGAAGACAGGAGGGCCTGGCGTGCTCTGGTCTATGGGTCACAAAGAGTCAGACACAGCTTAACAACGAAACAACAACAAACATAATTGAATTTGGGTCCAACCTACTGTGTTTTTAATAAACATTCTAATTAAATGAGATTTACCTCTTCTGAAGATTTTGTTCAGATTTTGGAAACAAATCAGGTTCAGGTTCAGCAAATAAATCCATCGGGAAGCTGAGAGAATATCCCTTCATTACAACCTCATCTTCATGGGGGTTCTCTGGAAATAAGTTTGTGTTTGTATGTTTTAGATCTTTTGCGGGTAAGACACACTGCCCCAACTTTGAGAAAGAAAGTGAAACTGGTTTTCATGCAAGCAACTGGGTTAGCTGGAACCTGTTAAAGTGTCAACAAAGGAACAGAAGCTGTTTCCCAAGGAAATTCTGCCATAAAGAAACTTATGGGACTTAAAATCCTGATCCATGTCTTCTAGAGCATGAACTACATATACTTAAGCAATATTTTTAAGCTTCCTGATGGAGTTAATTGGTGGACCTGAATGGCCCACACAGGGTCAGTAGAAACAATCTACTGTAGAAACAGTAGATTGAAGACCTATACGGAAGAGATTGAAGAATGAAAAACTCTTTTGAAGTGCAATCTTATGATGGAGAACCTGCATTTCTAGAAAGTGAAATGAGAACTCCTCTGACGGCACTGGGAAGAAATAAATTAATAGGGTAAGTGTAATACTAAGAGAACTATTTCAAGCTACTGTATAAAGGTTGAATCTGTCAAAATCTTAACAAGACTATGCCAACACATATGGAAAGTAAAACAATAGCCCACAGACTGAAAACATTCAACTTACATTCCAGTCTCCAAGAAAGGAGATACTGTACCAAGGAGTGCAGTAACAATAAGATCATTGTTCTAATTTCCTATGCATGCAAAGTGATGCTCAAGATGTTGCAACAAAGGCTTTTAATGATATGGAGTAAGAAATGGCCAGTGTTCAAACTGGATTTTGAAACATAAGAGGTGCTTGAGATCATATTGCAGATATCAGCTGATTACTGGGATGCACCAAATAATTTCAGAAGAAGATCAGTCTATGCTTTATAGACTACAGCAAAGCCTTTGACTGTGTGGGTCATGAGAAACTATGGGTTGTTCTGAAAGAAAGGGGTGTGCCTTAGCACTTGATTGTCCTCATGTGTAACGTGTATTGTGGACAAGAAGCTACCATTAGGACAGAATATGGAGAGAGAGAGAATTATGTCCTGTAGGCAAAGGTGTCAGACAAGGGTGCATTTTATTCCCCTTCTGTTCAATATATATGCAGAACATATCATATGGAAAGACAGACTAGATTCAGATGAAGAAACAAAAACAATTTGGAAAAACATCAATAATTTAAGATATGCAGATGACACCATCTTACTAACAAAAAGCAGCATGATTTGAAATGACTTTTAGTGAAAGTGAAAGAAGGAAGTGCCAAAGCAGGACTGCAGTTGAACATTAAGAAGACCAGAATCATGACTATAGAAGAACTACACACTTTAATGTAGACAATGAAGAAATTGAAATGGCAAAGATTTTGTATACCTTGGTTCAATCATCAGTCCAAATGGAGACTTCAGTCAAGAAAGCAGAAGAAAACTGAGACTTGGAAGAGCAGCAATAAAGGAATTACAAAGGATCATCAAGCGTAAAGGTATGTCACTCGAGACCAAGATCACCACCATGCATTTGTGCAAAGCAGGGGTCATCAACCCCTGATCCGTGGGCTTCCCGGAACTGGTCTGTGGATATGGATCTCCACCCCCCCACGCACGCGCGATGTGCGTGTCATGCTCGTGGTGGGCATGTCAGGCTCGTGCGGGATGTGTGAGTGTGAAATGCCCCCTGGAGCCACAACACGCCCCCCGCAGCCATGTGGGGATGTGCCGGTCCCCCTGTGCATGAATTGCTCCCCCAAAGCACCAAAAAGGTTGGGGACTGCTGGTGTAAAGGACAGACAGTAAAGAAAGCTGACAGGGAGCAAAATTGATTTGTTGGAAACATGGCACCAGAGGAGGGCTTCGTAAATGCTCTGGACTGCCAGAAAGATGAACAAGTAGGTCCTAGAGCAAATCATGCCTGATTGATCTCTGGAGGCAAAAATAATGAAACTGAGGCTGTCCTAGTTTGAGTACAATCATGAGAAGGTAAATTTCTGTGGAAAAGACAGTAATGCTGGGAAAAGTTGAAGGCAGCAGGAAAAGAGGAAGATGAAATACGAGATGGACTGAATCCCTAAAGGAGACCACAGGCTTGAGTTTACAGGAGCTGAGCAGAGCACTTGAGGATAAGACATTTTGGAGATTGCTCATTCTCCATACGTCAGAGCTGACTTGACAGCACATAACAACAATCACAACCCTCTGTATTAACTTTCCTCAGTCTAAATTGAATTACAGCACTCATCATCTCCAAGTATCATGTGAAAGGAATGGTAGTATGACTGATTTGTAGGGCACCAGCTTCAGGGAGGCACTTTTGTGGTACAAAGGGAATGAACTTTATTATTGGAACTAGACTGGTTGTTGAAAATTTCTAAATCCCATAGATTTCCATTGGCTTCAAAGTTTCCATAGAGACCAGGGCAGGTGCTTCACACTTGGATATGAAAGTTCCTCTGTGAAATCAGTAAGTCCTACAATTCAGTGCTGTAGAAGAGACCCCCTCGTTATGAAGGTTAACACCACCAATTCCACTCTTCTAGCGTTTCATCCCATTTCAGCCCTTTGGGATTTCATCGAATAGTCTTGCCCCGGATGCAGGAAAAGTTATTTTTTGGACTACAATTCTCAGAATCCTCCAGCTAGCATCAATCCCTGGCTGGAGGAATTTGGGAGATGCAGTATAACAGTCAGCTTCCCAAGCTCTCCTTTCTGTCCACAGATCCTCTTTCAGAAGTCTCCGCATTAGTTAAAAATCAGTACGACCGGTTGCCTCAATGCTTGGAAAAGACTTCCGCCTCTTCCTGTTCTGTCTCTTAGTTTGCCTGCTTGCTTGCCTGCTTGCAACCCCTGCCTGTGGAGTGAGATGAACGCGCTCCAAGCCTGCTTCATACCCGCCTGGGCTTGGAGAGCACTGAAGAATGGAAGGCTAAAGAGCGCTTTTGATTACGGCGCCATCCCAGCTATAGAGGAAACAGCTGGGTCATCAAGCAACAATATCCCGCGCTCTCGAGTTTTTAACAGCGCCCGAATTACCGTTCAATGGGGTTTAACAACAGCCATTCATCCCCGTCCTCTGCAATGCTGGGTGGCAAGAACCAAGGGCGGTGAAGGGTGCGCTCCTCCCTCTCTGAATCCAAATGCGGCTAATAACCCATGGGCGGCGGCTCCGACAGGGAAGGAGAGGAGGCAGCTTGACAATAGCCATCTCTGGCGAAGCTCTGTGTCCCCAACTAGTCCACCCGCCTCCAAAAGGCGACCGAGCAGGGATTGAGATTTCGTGACACGCACAGAATCGCCTTCCCCGACCAAACGATTCATTCGAATCCAGGTAAATGCCGGATTCCAAATGAACAACTCATATAGCAGATTCCTGCTTATGGAAGCCCGCAAAGTTGGAAACCCTCTTTCCTCTCCTTTTCCCCCGTTTAGGTATTCCAACAGGAAATGGGGAAGAGGCGTTGGAAGTTGAAGGACTCATTCATCTTCAGTTAATAGCCTTTTCATCCACAAGAAGAAGGGCCGTGGATCTCTCTGGGCTCTGCTGTTTCTTACCTTCTCCGGCTTTCATTGCAAAGGCCGAGGGTCAAGTAGCAAGAACAGAGAAGATAAGATATCTACTGAGATAAGGAAGCAGAGCAGACATGCGTGAAGAGGCAGTTTTTAGAAGGCAAAAAACGGGTAATTTTGACACAGGATGGTTGAGACGTCAGGAACTGCTCCTGTGCTCAATCATCCTCAAAGAGAAACACTGAGCATCAGACCTGACCAAGCAGACGGCTATACAAACGACAGGGCGCGCGCACACACCGTCACAGCCACACCTACAGGCTAGGGATGCGTCCCGCAGGTATTTCGAGATCCTTCCCTCTCTTGTAGGTTATCAGCTCGTGAGATATTGGTGGGAGCCACCGCGGCCCCAATCCCGATTGCTTGTGGCACTCTCCCCTCATCTCTGTGCTAAGTAATTGATTTGGAAGCAGGGTTGGAACCTTCCCCCCACCCCTCCCTCCCCTGTCGACGGAAATTCGTAGTAAAGTTTTGATCCGTATGTTCCAGCAAAAGTGGAAGGCAAAGGTGTGCCAATGTGTCTGGGCGTCTTACCCGCTCGGAGTGGCTTAGTTTTTTCCTTTGCACCTTTCCGATGCCAGTGAAAAGACTTATTTCTACCTAGTCTTTAGGAAGGCTGATGCTTCTACACCCTTTTCTGAGAAGCAGGATCCAAGGGATTGCAAAGCAATGCCTTGGTTGGCACTATACGACGCTCCAGAGTGCCTTCTTATAATTCCCCATGAAAGAGAAATGAATACAGCATTGGGACCTTTGTACATTTGAGGGCCATCCCTTTTTGCTTGGTTTAATGACTCCTTCTATGGGCACAGGATGGAAAGTTTTGGGCCACCTTGACCTTTGATAGTAAGAGGTGGTGCTTGCTGTGTTTCGTCCCCCCTCCCCGGACCCCTCCTCCGCCGCTCCCCCTTTTGGGAATTCTTCATTCAAGAGTTTTTGTCAATGGGAAGAATGTCCCGCTGATCTCCCCCGTCGAGGACTTTGCTGACGTCACTAACGAGGCGATAAATATCTGTTGATATAATTGGATGTGAGATTCTGGGTTGTGATAGCAGGACGTTGCCCAGTGCTGCTCTGGAACGGCCCCCATGATTTATTCAGCACTGGATCGGGGCACGCAAGCTGTCAAGGAAGCGTCAGCTTATTAGGCAAGGGCTGCGTGATTCCAGAACAGGGTCTAACCTATAAAAATCACGCACCGGGGCTCTGATTAGGAAAGCAATCTGATCACAAGGACGCCAGGAGGAAGCTCCGGGAGATACGCATAGGAGAGGGGGAGAAAAGGGGGACCCGACCACGGACTGGCTCCACCCGTCGTACTTAACTCCCTGGGCATCTCTCAGGTATGGAAAAGATGCGGCTTTATCGCTCTATTCTACACACAGCAAACTTCCGTTGAGGAGAAGGTTCTGCTGCTGGGTAGTTTGGATAAGTGTCTGTGTGTGATTAGAGCTGTGTGTGTGTGTGTGTGTGTGTGTGTGTGTGTGTGTGTGTGTGTGTGTGTGTTGAGAAAATAAAGTGATGCTGAGATAGTGCATTGTGTACTGGGATAGTGAAAGGAGTTCCAGCTATAGACCCTTCTGGGATTCTCTGGAAACAGTCAAGGGTCACTTATTAAAGGGAAGAAATATATTTCATCAGTTGCTTTGAATGGTTGAAGCACCTGAGTCTGGAATGCAGCCTGACCCACAGAATAGCTATCTGATGCTGAAACGTTTGTTTTCACCCCATGCCTTGTATCAGGAGTAGTTCAGGCTGTCCTGGACCGAAGGAAGGGGAAGATCTCACCCCCCCCCCCGCCAACTGTGAGCACAAAGAGGATCCGACCGAGTTGATTATATCAGGTTAAAAATGTGGGAGAAAGAGTGGGAGTTTGGTCCAGCACCACGGACAGCGACCGCGTTGAACAGGAAGGGTCGCTTGCGGGGAATTCTCTGCCTCTTTCCCAATGGGCTAAGTCACTCCGTCCTCTCTGACATCAGCTTTTTGACCATTCTCCCCTCCTCCCTTTTTCTTTTCTTTCTTTTCTTTTTATTTATTTATTTTTTGCAGATCTGGCCGCTGAAATATGAAGACTCAGTTGCTGGTTTCTACTGGGATCTTGCTGGTCGCTCTGCTGTCCTGCTATGAGTGCCGAACCCTCAGCAAAGGCGCCCTCGCTGCTCCCGCCGACGGCGCTGCGCTGCAACCGGATTTCCAAGAGCAACCCCAGTCACTGCCCGTCTTGCTGCGTATGGGGGAAGAGTATTTCCTGCGCTTAGGCAACCTCCACAAGAACCCCGCCGCCGCCGCCGTAGCTTCCTCTTCTTCCTCAACAGCTGGCAGCAGCAGCAGCCGCCACCTAGCAGCATCTGCATCGGCCGGCAACTTTTTACGAGCAGCTGTTCAGCAGCTGGAACACCTTCAGCAGCGCTCGCTAGAGGGTGCCGCGGGGCCCTGGGACGGCGAGGATGACTATGGTGGTTCCCACCACCTCCACCCGCTGGAGGAGGCCGCCGCGGAGAAAGAGAAGCGATCCGAGGAGCCGCCGATCTCCTTGGATCTAACTTTCCATCTCCTCCGAGAAGTCTTGGAAATGGCCCGAGCAGAGCAGTTGGCTCAGCAGGCTCACAGCAACAGGAAACTGATGGAAATCATCGGAAAGTGAACCCCACCCTGCCCTCCATCCGTCCCGTCTCCCTTTACCAAAGAGAGATCCTCCAGTTAGCACATCACTGCGACATATATAAATATATTTACACAGATCCCCCCGTGCTGTTCCGATCTCCTGTTCTTTCTGTTTATTCGAGAGCTTTACCTACATCGTGTCCCGTGACACACACACACACACACGCACACACACACATACACACACAGAGAGAGACACAGACACGCACACACACACGCACACACACACACACACACAGAGGCACAGATACAGACACACACACAAACACACACCGCCTAATGTAGCCCGTCAGTAGCATGCCCGGCGTTGTAGTGCCCAAGTGTCGTTTGTAACTTATTCTTCTCCCTTCCTCTTTCCACCCCCACCCAACCGCGCACTCACTCAAGATTAATTCAACTCCTTTCGGTTGGGGTCCAGCCGCTGGAAAGCTGGAGCGCCCCCTGTCGTCTGCGGGGTGATGGTGGTTCGGAGGGAAGAGGGTTGGGGCGTCTCTGTATTGAGCTGTTTCGAACCGACTCTTCTATTTTCTTTCTTCTTTGTAAACATTTCCACAAATAAAACATATTTTCAGCGCTCGGTCAATTTGGTTGTGTAAGAGAATGTTTAATATTTATATTTTTAATAAAAGCTGCAAAGGAACGATGGCTTCCTACCCTTCCTTGCCTGCCTGCTGGGGTCCGTCTAGATTCGAGCATGGGGTGGGGGTGGGATCTGGAAATGTTTCTCTGCGGGAATGGATTGCCCACAGAACTCAGAGGAAGGACACAAGAGCACATCTGTCCACCCAACGTGTAACGTGTTAAATAGGGCGAGGTCCTTCCGTTGCTTTGATGGGCTATTACAGCACCTGGGTTCGAGTGGAATGCCACACTTTGAACCCCCAGATGTATTAGACAACAATTCCCATTACCTCCAGCCCGTATAGCCATGGAAGCAGCATCCAACGCATGATGGGCGTTGTAGCCGAACGCATCTTGAGGGGCAACAGTTTGGGGAAGGGCTCGGGGTTCAGGCGTCTCACATTTGAGCCGAATTTAGGAGAACAGATCCACGTTAACTGTAGAGTACGTGATGCTCAAAAGGGAGAGCCTCTGGGCATGAGCAAAGGGCCGGGGCTTCAGCTTTGTCCACCGAGGCTGAGACCCTGAGGTACATTAGGTTAGAGAACCAAGCAACACAAAGTGCTCTTGTGAATTTCCGGCGCAACACTTCAACTCTTCCATGTTCCTTTACAAATGACTCTTCACACCTCCAATCCAATTCTCATTTATTAAGAGATAAACCGCACTGATTTGGACGCCGATCCTCCCGAACAGGCTTATCTCAGACCGCAGCCCTTGCCTTTTACTATTAGCATCGGTGGGCTTACGTCTCTCTCTCTCTTCAGATCCATCCCGTGACCCTTCAGAACTGCTTTTATAAACCCAGCTAATAAACTTACAAGTCCATAGAAAAGACATTCCAGCTGAAGTGTTGTCAATCAAACTGCGCAACTCCTCGTTTTGCCCCCCCCTCCGTGCTACTGGCACTCAAGAGGCCTTAAGATTGCCTCATTTTTCCATAGATGTGAAACTGCATTTACTTACTGTATGCTGCAAAGGAGGGGGGAAATCCGTGACCAATAACAACAAAGTAAACAAACAATGCCTCCAATAATTCCCAGCGTTGTTTCGGCTTTTCAGTCCTGATACAAAAACAATTTTGCTTCGTTGACATTCTGCTCATACATTTAGGATTACAAAGTGGGGGAAGGGCTGTTCAAGGGAAAGTTTCCGTAGCCTCCCCCGATTTGGGGGGAGCAAAAAGTTTGGAAATTGACAATGGAAGGTGGAGGGAAAGGATGGCAAAAGAGAGCAGATGTTCCCTTTCATCATCATCTTAGAATTGCAGAGCTGGAAGGGATCCTATAGATCACTGAGTCCAGCCCCTCCCAAGGAGGCACAGTGGGGAATCAAACTCTCGACCTCTGGATCCATAGCCAGATACCTAAACCACTGAACTAGCCAGATGCCCTTTTGAGCCTGAGGTGGGCTTTCAACCTGTTTGTCATTTATGTATGAAGATTAACCAAACGGGACTTCACAGACGCCACCTTGATAAGGTCTTTGGGCACTCCGCCGGGTCTCCCAAGGCTGAGACACACACGCCCAGCCCCTCCGATTGAAGCAGGGGCACGTGGGGTGTGTGGCAGAGTGGTTAGAGAGAGGCGCGGCGAAGTCAGACACACCCAGGTTCAAATCTCCAAGGCCACCACGATGGTCGGGGAAAAGAACAGCTCCAAGGATGCAGTGGAGGGGAAAGAACCGGGGCAGGGCTCGGAGCGTTAAGCAAATCGCTTTGGACCTCCTCCCGGGAGGCTGCCCTCTCCCCTTGCCCGTGTCGGGTCAGGACCCAGAGAAAGGGGATCTTCGGAAGATGATCGTTCGACTTCCGACGAACCAGCAGAAAGGCCACCACGTTTTAAAAGGCGTGCCTATTTTTTTACTAGCCTGCCTCATCTCTGCAAACAGCGCGCCCAGCAGGAGTGGGTGTCACGGCCTTCGGGGGCTGCCGTGGAGCTCAGAGCTTGGAAAAATTACTTTTTAAAAACCTGGACAAGCCTCCGAATGCTCCGGCCGGCATGGCTGTATTTCAAAGCTTTTGTAATTTCCATGATAATAATTACATGCCCTCACCTTTGAGTTAACCCAGGAAAGGATCGCCATAAGTCGGCAAACCTACCAGTTCGCATCAAAAAGAGAGCAAACAGTTCTGTGGCGCCCGAAAGAGACTGAAAGTCTGGTTAAGCATAAGCTTTTGTGGACCCATGCCCACTGCCTCAGGCAGGCAGGGAGTGAAGACAAGGAATCAGGAGCTAAACGTTGGAAACAAGACCTCTTGGGCTACAAATCCCAGAATCCCCAGACAGCATGGTCATGGCATGCTGCCTGGGGATTTTGGAAGTTGTTATCCAACATTTCAAATTTTCAGGCTCTGATTAGGAATGCCATGGGAGCCTGATCCAGTTTAACAATGGCAGGGAAGAGACCATTCGGATAGAAGCCCGTTTTCTTCCCTTTGCATGATGCCCCTTTACCTGCCAAAATACCTTTTTCTTCAGAAAAGTGGGTGGGGAGGGGAAATCACTCATCTCAGCTTGCCAGCACTATTAAATCTGCATTTCAAACCTACCTTACACACTTATCTGTAGGAACCACTAGATGGATGGGTACAAGGGACAGGGTGTTTTCAGCAGCAGCTTCCATTCACAGAATGCTGCATGAATGAAGGTAGGTCGCTTGGGCCCCTTCCCTGATAGCCTTGAAAAGGACCCTGAAACCTTACAGTATTTGTTTTCCAAGTCTCTCTCCCAAAAGGACTTTATTCTGGTTTCTGCTTTAATTATTTAGTGAGGCTTTAGTATTTTTAATGGCCGATTTTAAAAAAAGCAATATTTTAAAATTTATTTCTGATTCTTTTTTTTTAAAAAAATATTCATGTTGTATTTTAAAATTAGGGTTTTATGGTTTTTTTGGAATATGTTTTTGTATTGTATATAAATGCTGAATCTATTTTAGGAAGGGTTTTGTGATAAAAGGCTTTCTACAATTATATATATATATATAGCACCTAGCCATCCCACTGCATAAAAATAAAGTGCTTTTCTTTATATTTGGATATGCAGAGTTCACTATTTTTGTTTGTTAGTAAATTAGTTAGAACCAGATTTGCTAAACGTCACTGATAGAAATGACCAACTTTGCCCACTCAGAGTCATGAAGAGGAAATACAATCTGTGAGGGGACAGCTTGTTTACTCACAGGTTACTCAGAGGGGATCCTCTGACCATTCAGTCACATTGCCTTCTTTGCCTGGCTGGGGTAGGTCCAGGGCGCCAGTGCACTCATGGTTAGGAAAAGCCTCCTGAGGGCTCGCAGGTTGTTGCTTCTGGTTGGAAACAACCCTGCAGACAACTTCAAGTAACTCAAAATACTTCAAAATCTCTGAGCATCTTCAGACAGAGAAAAGAGTACTATCAACCCCTTTCAGCTGTCTAAACAAACCACAGCTTAGGCAAAATTTTATATTTGATTAAAAGCAAAGGGAGCAAGGCATAAGACAAACTTTCCAATAATTCAGCAATGATTACAAAAGCCATCATTTGGTAGCACAAACAGACTTTACAGAGCTCAAGGCATAATGAGGCTATCCCTATGGAAAATAAAGAAAAGCTAGCTCTCCAGGCTATATGGACAAGCATGTACAGAGTTCTTCATGGCAGATAGCATGAACATACTAAGTCATAGACATGATCCAAGATGAAGGATGAAAGGTGCAGGCTAAAGAATGCCACTAACTAACTATCTTCCTTAAATCCCATCATCCCACAGTTCACTTTTGTAAGAATCCATCAATCAGCAGGCAGCTTTTAATTGGTTTCAGCTATACCAGCCAAGAGCAATTAACCACATTCTAGGTGCAATGGCCACACATCAAAAAACTATGTTCCCCCAACCAAATCAAGGTCAGGATGTTCTCTTCAACTTGCTTATCTTGGGATGGTGTGCTGGTGTTGCACTTCTTCCACAACATTTATGCCTAGGCTGGTCAGTGAGATATTTTACCAACTTGATGCTAACCCTTTAACTACCTTACAGATGTTGCCACCCTGGGGTCAACTCCATAAAAATTCATTCACACAATATTTGTGTGTTATGGTCATGTAAAAATACACAATACCCACATGGAAGATACACATTGTGGAATAGTGGATAGGGTAATGGCCCAGAATTCAGGAGATCTCAGTTCACATCCTTGCTTGGCCATGGAAACTCACAGGGATGGGTAGGTGGAAATGGTAAGACCACTCTTCAAATATCTTATTTACCTTGTAATTCTTGTTTCCAATTTGGGTTCAAATTTAATGGTATATAACACAGAGCTACAGGGTGATTGTAAGACCTCTTCATTTTCCAAGCTCCAGCACTCAGTATACTGAAAGAGCAAAACTAACCCCACATACACACACATATGTTCCTCCCTTCTCCAGATTTTGGAAAGCACATTATTTCATTTTATTTTACTTTAAATGTGGGAGCTGGTGATAGAATTCATTTGATTTGTTCCTGCACACCACAATGAGTGCTTGAAGTAGCAAGTTAATGATCCAAATAAAACAAGTGAATAGGCACAAAAAATATGCATGTTAGTTTTGCTCTGGGGTTCCTGATGGCAAAAGCACAGGGAAATGATGAAACATCATGTAGGGCAACTGCTGCCACTCCCAAATTGCTCCCAATTTAGTGTGCAGTTCTGTAAGAATTCTCTTGAATGCTCTTTGCCTTTAAACCTTGGCTGCAACGTTTTACATCCCAGGGAGCCACCTTCTCTGGATATGGCTTTGTGTAGTAGTGGTTGAGCAAGAGTTACTTCTGAATCTCAGGGTCGGATTCAGCCATTCTTAGTTGCCACCACCAGGAGCCACCTGCCAGCTAGACATCATTTCCTCCTATACCACTTCTCTTTTTCTTTTCATTTCAAAGTGAAAGACAATCTCAGTTCTAGAAGTGAAGACAATGACTCTGGATGCTTCCAGGCATCCATTTATAATATTCTCCTTCAGTCACAGAATTTGGTGGTGGTGATGGTGGTAAGAATCTGGTTGTCGTCTTTCACTCGCAACCATCTAGGTTTCCCCCCCCACTTCAGTGTTTTTTCTGTCCATCCTTAGGTGGCTATGGTGGCAGCAACAGCAGCAAAATGTTAAGGAGAAAAAGAATAGGCACACAATATTTTTTTGAGTGGTAGGACTACAAGCACATTGTCTGGGCGTACCTTTTGAAACTGGAAACTGACAACTAGTAACCAGAAGAAAAACCCACTCAGTGGCCTTTGGGGAGGGCTGAGTGCTGCCAGTGGTGCATCCAGGCTTCTAAATGAGCAATGTGTCCCTACCTGAGCAGCTTGTTAGGAGGAAAGGAAAAGGTGGAGAAAGAGAAAAAAGAAGGAGAGAAGGGGGAAGAATACAGCCTTTGTCAAGAAAGTATTTGTTTCTAGCATAATCATTCCCTTTCTCATCCTCTATGGCCTCCACATAATCTCCAAGTGAAGTGCCTGATAGTACTGTTTGAATCAGGTAAAATAGAGGATGGGATCATCAGAGGTGGAACCATAAGTAAAAATGACTGGATTACTTCAATGTAAGAAAAGGCAGAAAGTTCTGAGAGTCCAAAATTTTTCTCCCTGCATGACCACCTCTCTCTCCATTCCTACTGAGATGTAAGAGTAGCACAGGACAAAATCTAGCTTATGCAGATCTACTGATAAGTCAGAAGTGACAAGTTGAATTATTTGAGTGTAAGCAAAAGCAGTAATGTTTAAGAACCTGTAATATATCTCAGTTTTGGCTGTTCTTTCTCAACTAATTGGAAACAAAAGAATAGCTGGTTTTGAAACAAGGAAGGCTACGGAGGCCCCATTGCCCTGTTTGCACCTATTCCAGTATGTCCTGGACATAACATTGGAGGGATATATAGCTCCCTTTCACCATCTCCATCAAAGAGCCCTGATAATACATTTTGATGACATATATTTTTAAAGGAAGTGGAAGAGATTCCAAGAAGAAGAAGAAGAAAGAAAACACAGAGAGAAGGAAACATGCACCTTCTTCTTCTATCAGAAAAACTGAGGTATATCGGGAGGGGATCTTGGGCAGTGGCCGATGTGCCCAACAGTAGGACTGGCACAACTACAATGAACAGATACTTACCTTGCAAAGAATGGCCACAAAAGCAGTGCTGACTACCTGACCCTGAAATTATTGTTGTTTCCCCTGCTGGTTTATGCTTGAGTAATTGTGTGCAATTACAACCCTGAGTGCTCACTGGAAGGACAGATCCTGAAGCTGCGGCTCCAATACTTTGGCCAGCTCATGAGAAGAGAAGACTCCCTGGAAAAGACCCTGATGTTGGTAAAGTGTGAAGGGAAGAGGAGAAGGGGACGACAGAGGACGAGATGGTTGGACAGTGTCATCAAAGCTTCCAACATGGATTTGACCAAACTCTGGGAGGCAGTGGAAGACAGGAGGGCCTGGTGTACTCTGGTCCATGGGGTCACAAAGAGTCAGACATGACTTAAGGACTGAACAACAACAAATTGTGTGGGGGTCACTGCCAATGCCCTGGGCAGGCCCTCTGTCTTCACCCAACACCACCCCAAGGTCATGGATGGAGCATGTACTCTAAACTGGTAGGAGAGAAACCCAGGTGTCTCTGGGGAGCTGGGGAACAGCTCACCAGATGGGAGGAGGGCCTGTCTTTGGTGTTAAAGAAGGGTGGTGGTGAAATTTTGGGGGGGGGGTCTTCAAGAACTGTGATGCCTGGTGAGGAGTTGGCTGAGGAGGAGGAGATCTAGGGTTCAGTGGAAGAGGATTTAGAACCCATCCTCTGCACAATTGGACAGCTGACCTGGGAGTAGGATAATAAACCCTGGCAAGAACCTACGAGCAGCTTTTTATTGGCTCAAGTGCTTTCACAGACTGGGCTTATTTACTGCAAGGACTTTACTGACCTCAGTAATGGGAACTGAGGCCATCACTGAATTGACTGTGTCAAGGGAACTAGTGCAGGGGAATGTAGTCCCCTGAGGTGCAGGAGGGCAATGACAGGGAACCACTGTGGTAAGCACTTGAACCAATAAAAACCAACCTCACCAGCAACCTGGAGCTGATGGAGTTTTTGGTGGGAGAGCTCAAAATCTGTTGGTTCCACCAGAGGCAAGGGTAATGGACCTCACAGTAATTTAGTTTTTCTTACTTGAGGCTCCCCTTCTGCTAATGTAACCTTCTGCTCCATCAATTCCAGGTTGGTGACATGGGGAGAAACTGATGTTTCTGGAGAAAGATTGCTTTAAGGGTCCATTGCCATGAATAAAGCACTTTCCATACATGCCTTTTACTGTGTGACTCTTCCACCTCATTCATGGAATTGTACAGGTCTTCCAGATACCGTTGTCTTTATTTTTTCTGAAAGCAAGCAAGCAAGTAAGAAGGAAAGACAGTCAGACTCCTGTGTGCAGCACATTATGAAGCAGTTCCCTTCAGAGGTAGATGAGGTTGGCCCCATTTTGGCCCATATTAGATGGGCGATGAACACATTTGTTGGGTTTTGCTTTTTATAGTTTTTAATGATATTGCACTCCAGAATGCTTGAAAGACACCTTTAAAAAGTCTAGCTTTTTACTGTAATCTGTTTTAGAGTATGTTTCATCTGGCTGTTTATTGTGAGCAGTTTCAATATTTGGCATGCATACACGTTCAGGGGTCCAGATAGGATGGAAAAGGAATTGTTCAATACATATAGTAACTGAAGAAAAATAAAATCTCCGGTTAGAGTTGCTGATGTCCATTGAAAAGCCTGTCACAATTACTTCCTGATGCCTATTAACAACACGAATGCCTTTATTAGGGAAACAACTGATATTTTATACAGCAATCTTGATGAAATACTTCAACACAATTGTACAAGAAAATGTCAAAGACATGTACAAGTATGTGTACTATATAATGTGCTTTTAACACTTTACTTGTAACAACAATATGTGGTCTGTTCAATACATTCCTTTCTAACATTTGTTTTGCTTGAGCACATTCAGGGTCAATTGGAATAATCATGTAACAGTTTATGTTTGTATCATTGACCAGTACCAGATATAAAGGCTGCATTGTTCAACCAATATTGTACCAATTTGTGAAGGTGAGTTGGAGAAGTTACAAGGTTATCATATGATATCGTCTCAAAAGCTATTATGAACTTGACCCCCATCATGAACTACTGACTCACATTTTCAAAATTTTTCCTCCCACCTCTTTCCCCACATTGTACAGCTGCTTCCAAAAATCTCAGAGAATCAGATCCAATATGACTCTTTCAATAAAAAAATTTCCAGAGAAGATTAGGGCCACAATTTCTTTCAAATGTGCTATTTGTCGTCACTTTCAGCCAAGTCACTTGTTGCCTATGAGTCATTTCAGAGACCTGCTGGCATCATCATTCATTCAATGAGTTCAACCAGGAGAAAGAGAAGACATGACGAGCTGGCTCATCAACTCTTTCATTGGTCCTCAGCTGTCCTTCTGCATGTCCTTGTGGAGATAGTTCAGACCCAGTCTGAGGCGAAAAGACAAATATTCACAAAAGAGAAAAACTGAAACCTCATCTTTTGAAGTTGGAGGTACAGTATCTATATTGATTATTTTAGTCCCATCAAAACTGATTTGACTATCATGAAAAAAAGGAAAATATAAACAACACAAAGGCTTTAGACACAATCTAGCAGAATGCTACCCTATACAAGATCCACTGAGATAAATGGCATCAAGCTTCTGTGTGGATATGGATTGGGTCCCAAAGGTTTCACCATGTCTCCTGCACAGGAGAATAATACCAGATTATGCTTTTGGAGGACAAAGCTTCTGTATTCATTAAAAAAAAGGGGGGGCTGGAGGTATCTTAGACTGTTTGGTACTTAGTGCTGTCACTGAATAACAGAACTGTTAATGAGCTAAATCCAATTGTCAGTGTCAAGTAGAGTGGACCAATGGAATCAAAAACACTTTACTGATTCATTAGGTTTACTCTTGGAACTAACAATTGCTTTTAGCATCTTATTTTTGTATTAGTAAGTTTTACTTTCTTGAAATAAACAATTTCCCTGAAGTCAGCAGATCTTATGTTTTTGATATTTCCAAAGTTAACCACAGAAAAATTCCTCATATGGTTCCCTCTACCCTGGTAAGGTACTTATGGTGGATGCCAGTCATGACATCTTTTATACCTTAATCCATTTACATTCAAGAGATATCTCCATTAGATGCTCTAATGTCACAAAGTTTTCTCATTTTTTGTTCCCTGCACATCCTCCTCATGCTCTTAAAAGTAACTGTTGTATCTCACCTTGAAGAATGAATAGTACTACCACAATAAGAGAACTTGGAGGTAACTCAAGCATATGTAGCATCATAACAAAATATAAGCAAATACAACTACTCGCCCAGAAGCTTAAGATGAACTGCCATATGAGATAGAAGATGGACTGGTGTAATCCAAGCATATTTTGTAAATAGATTGTGTTAAATTTCAAACGTGAGTTAGTGAGGAATGATGACTTGTTAGTTATTGGTTAGGTATTAGTTAATTTAGCAGCATGCTGTTTGGACAGAGTCATGACACTGCATGACAATTCCAATCATCTAGTGGGTGTGAAAAGAATAGCTTATTTTCTCCAATTTAATCAGAATCTTTAGTTTTTTTCCCTCTAGCATAATATTTTTTGCTGTAAGTAGGCTAAATCCTACAGCAGGTTTTGTTCTATACAGCTTCATTATCTGGGGAGCCATCTCTAAAAGGCAAATATATCCTAATATTGATAATGATTCTGATGTGATAATGCTGTTGAGAATACAATAGGTAGTATACAGTTTTGTACAGAGATAATAGCAATTTTTCAATTAGGCAATATTTAATTACACAGTGTTGCAGCTAGGAGACCAGGACAGAAGAGTCCATCTCCCCAAAATTTCAGGATGTGCACCTCCTCTTCTGGTCATAAGCTGTCACTGACCTTACTACAGCAATGCCTAAACAATCTCTTTCTCAGTGCTAGTGATCAGTCTTCAATAATGTGCAGCTAAGGACAGCAAGTTTTGTAACTTTGACTGTCTCAGTTACTGTGACTGGCCTATTCAAGTGGTGGCTGGAATCTTATTGGTGTTTGCATAAGGTTTACATAACATTCCATAGCTAATTGTGGCTAATGGACAAAGTGCCTTGGCACATCTCAGCTGTGCAATCAGGCATGTGCAAGCAACTGAGACATGCTCTGCCACTTCATCAATGTTCTGCAATTAGCCACAAGAAAATTAGCAGGGAAACAGATGGTGCAGTGATAATCTCCTCCTACCATTTCAGTGTCACCTAACTAAGACATTTTATTTGTCATTCCTACCAACCCCAGAGTCTCAAGAACAACACAATCTGATGATGACCCTCTAGGACAACTTCTGGAAGGGAAATGGCTGCTATTGGTTGTTGCTGCAAAATGAGCAACAGTCAAAAAGAGGAGGCTGCATCTTCTACTCCTCCCAATCCTGAACCCTCAAATTCTTTGTGATAACATTTGACTCCAACTCAGCTTTGATGAGATTTACAGCTGACACCGAGAAAATTGGTAATTTTTAGCCAGATGTGGGAAACTGGAGCTATTGTTCAGCAATTGTTTTTTTGTTTGTTTTGAAAGCCAAAGCCAAAGCTACAGCTGGCTTGTGGTCTGAATTGTACCAAAAGCTGAAAATAAAGAGATTCTACACCTGAATTTTAATACTCAGTTAGTCATTTCTATGGAACCAATCTAGATTACTCTAGATTACTCATTATGGGAATGCTGATCTCCTTAGCTAAATTATTCATTTTATTTATTAATTTATAGCCACCCCCCTCCCATTTTATTTAGCAGACAAAAGAAACAGACATACATTTCAAGGGTGATCCTCCTATCCAAATACTAACCAATCCCAGACATGTTTAGTTCTAGCAAATATGCTGGCTCATGTGCCTTTAGTTCAGACTGCAAACCTGGTAGAACTCACCATGTACGGTGTGAATATTAAGATTCCATGCTAATGACATCTGTCAGGGGATAATGTTAAGGAAATTCCATATAAGACAACCATGGTATCTTGTCTTACAAGTAATGCTGTGGAGAGGCAAGAATTCACCTGAAAGACGTTGGCTGGGATGAGGGAAGGGGCAGTTCAATACATTTTTCTGGCAAAGACAAATCTACCAATGGCTGATGCCTCCCCATAATTGAAGGTACAAATCCAGCTACTTAGGTTATTTTGGCCCCTGAGACAGAAAATCATGCAGGAACCCCAACCTGGCAATAAAATTAAGTACTACATTAAGGTGTGGGACATGGTGACACTGCGGGTTAAACCGCAAAAGCCTCTGTGCTGCAAGGTCAGAAGACCTGAAGTCGTAAGATCAAATCCACGTGATGGAGTGAGCTCCCGTTGCTAATCCCAGCTCCTGCCAATCAAGCAGTTCAAGAGCACGCAAATGCAAGAAGATAAATAGGTACCACCATGGTGGGAAGGTAACGGCGTTTCATATCTAGTCGCGCTGGCCACATGGCCATGGAAGATTGTCTTCAGACAAAATGCTAACTCTATGGGTTGGGAACAGAGATGACACCACCCCCTAGAGCTGGAAACAACTGAACAAATTGTCAAGGGGAACCTTTACCTTACAGGTAGAGGTTTCTGGCTTTCACTGAGACCCAGAAATCTGTTACCCATGGGGGATGCCCCACTGTGTCTAATAATAGGGCCAGAGCTGGGGAGAAAAGAGCAAAGAGGATCACAAAATGATCAACACTTCATCTGTTAATCATATGGTGTCTCCAGGAGCAGGATACAAGGATGGGCCACTGCCTCCTCTTTCAATGTTACGTAACCTTCCTGGTGTGAACATCAACTGGTTGAGCACAGCCTATTGCAGCTGAAAGTGTGTAGAATTTTACAATGCCACAACACAAGAAAATGTACATTGTATTCGGGAAGGCTTTCACGGCCGGGATCTAATGGTTGTTGTGGGTTTTTCGGGCTCTTTGGCCGTGTTCTGAAGGTTGTTCTTCCTAACGTTTCGCCAGTCTCTGTGGCCGGCATCTTCTGAAGATGCCGGCCACAGAGACTGGCGAAACGCTAGGAAGAACAACCTTCAGAACACGGTCGAAGAGCCCAAAAAACCCACAACAACCAAAATGTACATTCTTGGCAGACGTTGTGAAAAATAGATTCTGTACTGTAACATTACATTTATATTTCATTTAGTTTATTTTTTAGTGTACAGTAATTCCAAGGTGACAGTGCTCTGTAACTGTGAAAGCTTGACTCTTAGAAAGCAATAATGTTTAAATAAGGTTTGTGGAAACATATTCTTTTAGCCACACACCAGATCTTAGCCTGGAAAAAGAGGACTCAGAATGATGATGCTGAGTTTTGCTGGCTATTCCTCTATTAAGTTATATGGTTGCTTCATTTGGCTTGTCTCACCATAGAATTTCTAAGGTAAGAAATATTTGTTAATTGTTTAGCATTGCCTTCTTCTGAATTGTGCTAATAAAAGTTAGCTTGCATGTCCTTGTTGTCTATGAAAAATGATCTACTTCCTCTACTGCTGCCACCCAATATTTGCCCTCCAGGAGTTTTTCTTTCCTAACACCATTGGAACTGTCCATTCTCTTCTGTGGAGAAGTATAATTATTTGACTTCATCTCAAGTGATAGAATCCAATAAGACTTTTACAATATGATTTTGCTGAACCTGTACCTTGACTTGTACTAAAGGTGAACCAAATTTGCATTTGTCTCATATAATGGAGCCGCTATCAATATAATACTATCCATATCAATTCAGATATGTTCTCCAACTTTTTGGGGTGGCACTGTGGAGAAGTATAATTATTTGACTTCATCTCAAGTGATAGAATCCAATAAGACTTTTACAATATGATTTTGCTGAACCTGTACCTTGACTTGTACTAAAGGTGAACCAAATTTGCATTTGTCTCATATAATGGAGCCGCTATCAATATAATACTATCCATATCAATTCAGAAATGTTCTCCAACTTTTGGGGGTGGCACTGTTGGGAACTCTCTCCCATGAAAGGCCAAGCTGGCCCCCTCTTTGCTGTCCATCTGCCAGCAGGTAAAGAGCTTTCTCTTCAGGCATTCCTTTCTCCAGTAACTGGCTGCCTATGAGGTTTTTTTAAAAAGGGGGTGTATATTTTTTATTTTTTTAGTACGTTTTTAAAATTGTTCAAACAGTTTTTAATATGAGATCTGCTTAATTTCTCAATATTTAATAATTTGCTACATTGGTAGCATTTAATATGCTTTGTTTTCATCCGGTTAACCATCTTGGGTCCTCTTTTGAAAAAAAAAAGGGGGCATAAACAGTAAAATCAAATGAATGAATGATGACTGGAGATGGGCATTCCCCCCCCCCGAGAACAAATGTGCACTTCCAATTTTTTTTGTGTTGGTGGGGGGCTTGAGTGACTTACACTTCTCTAATGTGGAAGTCACCACTCTTGAAGGCCTCTGGG